TTCTTAATCCATTCTTTCTTAAATCTTGTTATTAGATTATTTATATGGAATTATGTGTGTTGTGATTATGTTGTTTACTGTATATTATAGACAAAAATTTTAAGAGGTCGATAGAAGAAAAAGGTTGGAAATCCCTTATCTAGAAGCTTATCATTATTAATATGTATTTAGCAACAATTTTTTGTAAGTTGAAAACCTGTGTTTATGTAATCCTTCACCAATGGAAGTTGAATACAGTAAAAGCCAATTAATCCAATCATGGTTAATGTTATCATTTGAACACTTTTATAGATTTGCAGAAGTCTCGCTCATTTTTATGTGAAAAACATGAAAAATATACCACTTATTGTGATCAACAATTCAGTTAATATGATCAAACTAGAATATTTTTTTTAACTCAAGTCACCAAATAAAGTCAAAATAGATTATAAAAAATGACAAAAGACTTAAAAATATCACTGAGTAAGGGTTTTGACACGAAACAGCTTGATTTTGAATTCAATCATTTATTTAATATTGAGGGGGGGAAAAGCAGCCATAGTTTGGTGAAGCGATTTTGAGGATGACCAGTCACATCTTTCTTCTTCAGAAACAAAAAAAGAAATTCTGCGGAATTCTTGCTTTACCATTTTTTATAAACGGTTCATAAACACTCTTTAGCAGTTTCCTGATTGAAATGCTGTGAAAATACCTTTTATGTATTTCTTGATATTTTTGCATTAAATTCCATTGCTATTTTGAACGATATTTTTTCCTCATCATATATTGTTATCAAAATAACCATGGACAAGCGCAATTACATTAACCAACACCTACTGTAAACATAACTAGTATCAACACTAAAACTACTAGTGATTAACCATGTGCACACTTCTGATAAGGGGAGAAAATGAATTCCTTTGACCTCTTCAGTACTATTCTTACAGAGCAATAGGAATAAAAAATTTCCCTGTTATGACTTATTTATTGAATTATTATTTTTCTTTTAAAGAAAAAGAAAGTATCCTTTTTTTTTTTTTTTTTTTTGTCTTTCCCCTTAGGTGCAAATGAGTGGTTAAAACATATTCAGCTGTTTTTCTAATGTCAGTACCTATTCATCTTTTTCATTTTATTTAAACTACTCCCTTCTGGTTCTTATTACTTAGTTAGTCTTAAAGCTCTTAAACTGCAACTGTATGTTCTTTGTCAGACTATCAATAAATATGCAGTATCCTATTTTATTTAGAATTGAAAAATTGAAATAATTAGAAAAAAGTAAAATAATTCAGTCAAGTGAGAGTTGTACAGAGCTGTTTGTACATTTTGTTTGTTGTAAGTTTAATTGTTTTTAGCATTGTTGTTGTGACTTGTCACTTCTCAGACAGTAACATCAGAACAAGCCCATGATACTGTGGCAAGGATTGCGCCTGTCTTTGGCAAGAGCCTTTAAGCACCATATAGGTAACAGTACAGCTTTGCTCAGTTCCACCCCCAATCTTAATAGAGAGCACTCTGGGGGGGATAGGTCCAGGGTCTTCCACTGCTCTTCCCCTACCACCACCATCATCTCGAGAGGCCTTTCAGCTTGTTGCATATTTAGAGTGCCCCCATGCCACACAGACACTAACATTTACAAACATCTATGCCTTCTCCAGCATTCAAACTCAGGCCCTTCTTTATGGCAATCAACATCACTAACCACTATCCCAGTTGGGCGGCTGTATAACCTTAAAGTTTATAATGATAAGATCTTTATAGAAAAAAGGCTGTGGAAGAAATCTGAACCAAATCAACAGCAGTTTCAGTTTTTAGCAAGAAAAGGGAATTTGGAATTAGTTTGATTATTTTCTGTTCAGTTGAAAGTTAGGGTGACCAACTTCTTCGAATTATGAAAATACAAGAATGGATATTTTAGTTAACCTGTACATAGCTATAATTGTTAACATATTCAGCGCCACCTCATTCAAAAGTTACTTTAGGCCACTACTATTTTTTATTAACGTATAAATATTCCTTACTGTCATCTAGTATATTTCAAAATGTAATATTATGTTTATATCTATATCTAGCCCAGTGTGTTCATGTTTTGTGGCAGTATGCAAAATATCATTTTTGCATTTTACCTTAATTATATATTCACTTGAAGACGTTTCAGTATTAAATGATCCTTTGCGTAGTTCCCATTTGTATTACCTATGCAATTTGAAGTTATATTTTTTGCATCTGACCAATGTAAATCAGAAAAAAATTTATCATGTTACACATATCATAAGCTTTATTGTCAGCCCTTTCAACAAAATACAGGAACTTATTTTTAATCCAGTTAAAATTGCCAAAATACCTCACTGTTGGTGAAAATATGTGTCTCATTTTTATGGAAGTAGGTATAGATTCAAATAGAGGAAACGTTGCTTGACCGTAAAGAAGGATTTTTCAATATATTTCCTTGATTCTCTTGAGTAATTCCCATTTATACAGTCCAGGCTTTAATCATGAATAATTCATTCTTCCTATTACCTACATGAAGATAAAAATTTCATGTTTTCTTTAGCTGGCATTTTTTATATTACTACTTTCTTTTGCTCTTGTTATTGCCTGTCATGGAAAGTGAAAGATACTTTGAGATGTGGAGGATAAAAATAGACACAAGTTGAATGGGAAGGCAACAGAAGATCGAAAATCATAGTTAAAGTACAGCGTTATTTACTGAGATTTTGTTTAATAATTATGTGTAATTTGATAGTATGTAATAAACATGTATTAAACATTTAGTATTAGTGTCAGTTGATTTCAGAGTGTATTTTGTAAGAAATACTTACTTTAAATATCTATGACTTCAGTAAATAATGAAAACATTTTAAACATTAGGATGTCATTACATGAAACAGGAAGGTTAAAAAAAAATTATCTGAAACTTGAGAGTTCTCAGAAGATATGGAAATTTTGGTTTTGCCTTAATTTTCATACTTCATTATGATCATATATGCAAGAAAACTGAAAAAGAAAGAAGGATGACTTTTGGTTCAGTTTAGATGTGCAAAATATATACAATAAATAGTGCTATTATTTAGCATTCTATAAATTACACGTTGGAGTTGTATGAATGTTATTTAGTTTCATATATTAAAATCTGGAATTTATATGATATAGTTTTCTATGTCAAATCCATATCTAAAAAGCCTCATTTGCTGAAGAGTACATATAAAGCAAGTTTCAACTAGTTATAGATGAATTGTTTCATATATTTCATGTTCATATTATTTAATGAAATTCTTTAAAATCTCCATAACCAGAACTAACAGAATTCAAATTCAGTACTCATGGTTGGCCATCAGGTAGGAAAATATCAGCTGTTTATTTTTGCATTGGAATGTGAGAGGGATGTTACAGTAATAAGGCATCCACATTTAGTTCAGTAGGGGAAGCTCCGTCTTATGTAGAAGTAACAGAGATCTGATAATCTGTGCTCTAAAATTACTGAATGATGAAGGTTTCGGCTTTTTATTTCTGTATTAAGCAGAATTAACAGAGCATGTCTCTAGCCCAGAAGCAAAGTTTTCTAAATAAATAAATAAAACAAAAGTCCACTAGATTATCATCAGATCAAATACAGTGATTAGTAGTGTTTACTGCTTTAAAAAAAAAAAATGAGACTTATTGCAACTTAGAATTTGCAAAAAGCACACATAATTACCTATCATTATGCCATTAAAAACATGGCTAATGCTTTTATTATATCAGTATCTCTAAACTATTTCTTACAACATACCTTAAAAAAAATCTCAATTCAAATACTCAAAATACAATTTCAAATTCAAATTCTAAAATACAAATTCAGATACTCAATATTTCTTACAACACGCCTATACTAAAAATTTCTTACAACATGTCAATACTGAAAAAAAAACAGTCGCATATACATTTGTGAGTGAAACTGATGTCATTTCAATATTCTAAGAATTCTGTTTTTAATAATCTTTATTAACTTAATGGCTATTGTCATACATATCATCAGCCTTTCCTAGTAGCAGTTATTTTGCAATTCATTATCTGTGCCTGGATGCTTTCTTCTATGGCAATTGTTTTCTAATGTAATTAGAAAAACAATTGCACTACAGTTCTTTCAGGGAACTGTTTGGCATACTGAAGACTTGCTTGTCGCAGATTTCTCTCAAATACCTCATAAATAAAAAAGATTTTAATTTTTCCCTATGTAGGCATTCCATTTTGAATTCAGCAATAGCATAATACAAGTACAAGCTGTTTAAACTGAGTATAAATAATGACAGCTTGAAAGTAAAAGGGAAGATGAATAGTTATTAGTCATCCTACCTGAGTACCACATTTAGTGTCTCATCATGTTTAAAATTCTACGCTTGTGGCTTGGCTTTATCAAACAGTTATATATATGGTGTAGTATTGTAGGCTTTTTGTACATGAATTGTCTGTGTTAGTTTAAAATGAGCATTCCCCCCCCCCATTTCATATTCAGTATTCTTTTTTTGTGCTTGTGTGTGAGAGACAGAGAGAGTGATAATATGACTGTTCTGTTATCAAAATTTTATTTTCAAGAATTTCTGAACCTATGTGTTGAGAAATAATTTATACAACACTTTTCTATTTTTTAATATGGAATAAGATTTATGAATAAAAATTGTAGATTTCCTTTTATCCAAATGAAATTAAGTAAGATAGAAAATATACTCAATAAAGCATGTATTATTCTGTTTGCTTTCTCTTTTAAAGTCCATTAAATTTTGTTTTTGATATTTCTTTGTAAAATATTTTGGTTGTGAGGTATTTCATACTATCAATATGAATAGTCCATTCATATATTGATGGTTGAAGAATGTCTAATTAAATGTAAAGGGTCTTGAAATATTTGGTTAGTGGAGGAAAATTAGAAGGAAAATCAGCATGATGTATATTGAGATATAATTGCCATTTTGCATTTATGTGATTTTTAATCTTTTTAACAGTGTATGGAAATGCTGGAAAATAAATTTTATTACTTTTATCAGGGTAATATTGTTATTCACTGCAGAAAGAGTTTCAAATTTTAATGCTGGCCTGATATCGGGCATTGATGTTGTGTCTCGTCTAAAAAAGAAGCTTCGTACTGACAGCTCTCTCCTTGATGTGGAAGTTCTATCAGTTGATACAGTTGGTATGATAAAAAATTTTCAGATATAGAAATCATTTTACTTCTTTGTGCATGGAGGTAGACTGAACAATTTTAAGAATATTATATAAACAGGAAAAAATATTTAAAATAAGTTAAATGTACTTTTTTAAAATTTTTCTCTAGTGTGCCAAAATAATTGCTCTGGGCATGGTACATGTGATCAGTATACTAAGCACTGCGTCTGTGAAGCTTTCTGGATGCAAGATGTATTCCGTTACAACTTGGGTGATGAAGAAAGCAATTGTGGTAAGTTTCATTTATTGTAAATCATTCTAAAAGCCATTAATACATTTTGAAATTGCAAGAGGAAAATAGCCATTACATGATACATATGTAGAGAAATCTGTAGGATTTTAGTAGGAAAGGTATCTAATTTAACTTCATTTCATGCATACCCTAAGGCTCCATTGCTAAAATTAGGGTTACCTAAAGCCTGTATAACAAATCTTACTTAGAAGTTACTCCAGGTTAATAATTGTATTATACAGTGAAAATCATTTAACACAAAACTGAGACGACTGAAATATTTTTTCGTGTTAAAGAATATTGAAAAAATATGTATATATATTCAACAAAATTAAGTTTATTAGAGTACATTTTATTTATATAGATATGTATATATGCATGTATTTAATAAAAATCAATGAAACAAAAACATCGACAAGAATTTAATTTAATGCAAAATTTTCAAGTTTTCTGAAAAACAAAACATTTATTGAGAATTTGGAAAATAATCTTGCATTTCCATTTGCATTGTCATTTTCAGCATCAGATTGTTAATAAATTGTTGGATGTCATCCATTTTGTTTTTCATTTCACCATTGGAAAAATGTGTGTCTAAATAACTGCACATACTTTTCATGGTGTTCCTCGTTTCGGAAGATGTGGGAACTGGAGCTGCATTATTAATTTCATTTTCGTAGTTGGAATCTGCATCAATGATGTTTTCTGAGCTTTAAACAAACTACAAACTGTCTTTGTCTGCTATAATTGGGGCTGTACACACACTATCATCATCTACGGCAACAAATTCTTCCGATGATACTGTAGAACAGTCCAGTAATACAGAAACTTTCTCAAACATTTCATTTAAGTGTTGGCTCAGTTTCAATATCCTCCTTCTCCATTTCTTTGGGCGCAAACCAAACTCACTGATTTTTACACACACTGCAATGATGTTATCATTGCCGAATTCCGATGAGAGATGAGATGTTTTTGCGTGTCGTTTGTAGGGATGGAGAGTGAAAGTTGCTTAGATAAACAAAATTGGCTCATGTCACAGGTTACTCCAAGGATATTTCAAAACCAAGTTAGCCTCCTTTCTACAAAACATGCGAAGCCACCTCTTTCATTTAACACTCCTCTTAAATCTTGCCTGCGCAGCTGATGTTTTCCGTATTTTGTTCATTCCTTTAAAGGAAATCTTTTTGTGTTAAGAGAAAAACAATGCATGAAAATACATAGTAGTTTGTCAGGACCGGTGTATGTTTCTGTGCTAACCGATATTAAGCGTTTCCACATTAAGCGCATTTCACTGTATATCATATCCAGAAGGGAATCTTACAGTTATTACCAGCCTAGCTGTCTTTATGCCACACTGTATGAAACTATGAAATGAGACTCTGAATTTCTTATACTGAATCTCATTCAGTATGATAGTTAGTGAGGATGGCTACTGCAATGATAAATCCAGTTTTTAACTCCAGGCAAGATCTGGATGTTAATGATTTATTCTTTTAAGGACTATTATTCTTTTAGAATGCTATTTTTTATGGCATTTAAAATTAGCTTATCCAAAAATGCTCTTTAGTGATTGGTGGGAGGGGAAATGCTTATGACCCTCCGTTTCTGTCACCCAGCTGCTGATCAAAGCTGGCAGAGCTTAGATAGAACTTTTGCATGCCTTACCAAAACTTAGTAAATTAATCCACCATATTTTTTAACATAGTTAAGGCCTCCTAGAAATATGTTGTCATTGCCATGTTACCTCGAATTTCAATTCTGTATTTAATGTTTAATATTTGGTTGCAAGTCTTCTATAATGTTCCTGTTTGTATATGAGAGAGCAGTAATAGTTTTGTGGAGATTAGGATTATAAGCCATTTTTTTTAATTATGACAGATCTCAATTAAAATTTTTCATAATAGCCAACTTGTGCGTGCACTTATCACACATGTAAGTGCACATATATTTATATGCATTCTATTTAATTGTCATTTTGCTGAATAGTATATACTGGCTGTAGAAATGTATACTTGTTTTTCATAATTTCTTTTTTCTTAGAAAATGCTTCTTATGATTTATGTCCAAACAGTACCAGTAAACCGTAAAGATACCAAAACAAACATTTTTCACAAAATTGGTTGTGAGCTGGTGACTTTTCATGCAGCACAGTGTGTAACGCAGCTATAATTACAAATGCTATACAATGGCTGTCATTTATGAGAACGGCCAGATACTGGCACAGTATTGAAGAGGCTTCATTTGTCAATCATTCCACGTAATGGTGAATAGATTATTTGCCATCATATTACAGGCAACTTTGGATCATATTACAAACTATTCTGGCATTTAAAAAAATATTTAAAAAGGACCATGTCGAATTAAATTCTTTTCTAGAAATTTGGTGCTTTTATGAAAGTTGCTAAACTTGCAGTAACTGAAATTGCTATAAAAGGGAGTGGTAGCAATAAGACTTATTTTTGGCCCCTGCAGCAACTTTTTAAAATATGAGGAAAGGTAAAAAAAATTTACTGTTTTTTCAAACTTATGCATTTGAGGATATGATATTTTATGTAGTTCACATTCTTACCTTCAAAAATCACCTTTTGGGGGGGAAGGAGTTTCATTTAGTTAGACTGCGAAGAAAGACAGTACTGCAAAGATTTTTAAATATATAGTGTGAGAACATAAAATTTTGACTTAATTTTATTAATTTAATTAAATGTATGAGAAGAATCAGAATGTTGCCCTCTCGTGCTCATAGTAAAAAACAAACTTGGCAAATAATCAAAGGTAGTTTGCTATTCTCTTTCATTTTCTCTGCATTTACTTGATTAGTGAGAGTTATTTGTTCATTGGAACAACTGTACTTTGTTTAGTTTTTTGGCTTAAACAAAAATTCTGTGTTGTAAAATGCCTAGATATTATAATTTTGATTTCTATGAAGCTCAAGAAGCTATAGATGATTTGAAATACAATAGAAGTCCAGAAATCTGCAACGCTTGGGACCAGAGGTTGTGCAGATTTTAGGATTTCAGGACAGAAAAGATAATATTCAGACTAAAAGTGCAAAATAAATAAGGCCTATTAGATACATTTAATTAAATTATTATATACATTAATATAATAATTAATTATATGCATTAAATTATTATTACATATATAAACATATATATTGTTCATTTACATTAGGCTCCTCTATTTTTAAATCAGCATGAATCTGCTTCCCCTTTTCTCTCAAACAGCCCTTTGTTGCGTGAACAAAGTTCATGTAAGGAGTAGTCCTGAAATAGGTACCCCATCTCTCCGCCGCTGCCGGAACCACTCGTACAAGACAGTATCGAGTTTTGCCGTTTTCGCCTTATGTAAAGATTTCCGGTGTTTGAATCACTGTTGCTTTCGACAACTTTTCTTTATTGTTCCGTATATCATACACAGTCTGTGTGGCAATTCCATATGATTCTGCCATAAACCGAGCAGTAGCACCTGCCTCCATCTTTAGCAGAATTTCCACTTTTTCCATTACCGTTAATGCATCGTGTTTACGTTTTCAAATGTTGCAAGCAGTAAAATCACAAGTGCTTTTCTTGTCCGTCGTATTAAAAGCGTTGAAATTTAAAATATCCTTAATTTATCCACAAAATATCCGGATAAAAAAAGACCACTAAACAATCTCATGAAATAACAACGCTCAGAAAGTACAACAACGCAGAGCTTGAACTTAAAAGAAGAGTTGAGTTAATCGTCTGCTTTTTTACTTCGATGCAGATTGGAGGGGGAAAACACTTATTATGATGTCAATAATTTGGTGTTTATGTTATGACTCATTATTATTCGGTAATTATGACATCATTATCCAGTAAGTATTTTTTTTCTTCGATATTTCGTACTCCATATTGCGGTTTCCAGAACCTATAAACTGAATGTTTATATTTTGAGAGGCAACGCGGATTTCAGGTCGGGGGATTTTCGGTATTTGACTGTACTTATCAAATATGGAAACATTGGAATATTTAAAACTTTAAAAATTCGAATTTGGGGTTAAACAGCAAAGTTTGTGTTAAATGTAATTTGGAAGGCTACATATATTGAAAATGAATACTTTGCTTTCTATTAAATTGAGAAATCATGAGAAAGTTTCGGAAGAACTTGTACCAAGTGGTAATGTCAGCAGTTGAGCATGCTGCTTCTGTAGAAACAAGAAAAGAAACCATTACATTTTCTGAAAATAATATTGTGATTCCTGTTGGTCGTACAGCTGACATTCACAGATGACATATTGTATGCAAGAATCAATATTAAGGTGGAGGTGTGTTGTAAGTTTTTTACAAGCAGTGACTTTATTATACCTAAAGCAGTTCGCTGTAATCAAAATCATATCAAAGGTATCAGAATTACTTCAGGGCTACATACAATTACAGCCAAAAAAGAATTATACTTCGATATACCTAATATATTGACCAACAATAATTACTGGAACTTACATTGAGCATTTTATTAACCCCTTCACACCGACTGTCACGTCTACATGCCAGCAACGAACACACTCACCTACTGGCCGACACGCAGGCGTGCCAGAGCATTTTCCCGTTTACTACCGACTGTCGCGTATTTGTGCCAGTACCCTGGAACGTTTTAGAAACTATAATTTCTGCCACAAGATGGCACTGTATGTCCATATGGTTTCAGATACATGTACATTAGACCTTCTACTTGAAATGAGAGAAGCATGACTCACATACACGTGTTTTTGTTTATATAAACAAACGGGGAACTAAATGTTTCTGAATGGCGTGATTTATGACGTCTCTTTAAATCGCACTTTATTCGCACGTGGTAGTTGTTTATTGTAAGTAGAAGTTTTATATGCACTAAAGCGTTGAGTATTTCGGTTTGCAGTTCAGTTTTTAGAAAATAATTAGATCTTGTTAGACGTGAATTCTTTCTGTTTTTACCATTGCAATGTCGAAGCGTCGAAAATGTTTAACAGAGTATGAAATAGCAGAAATGATGCAAAATACTTC